CGAGCACGGCGCGCACGCGCGGGGCCGTCGCCAGGTCGGTTTGCTCGCCGTTCAGCCAAAGCTCGTCGTCGGGGAGGTCGTCGCGGAGCTCGAGGGTGGTTTTCGTGCGAAACGGCCGCGTCGCGAGGGTCACGCTGAAGGAGTCGTTCATCGGGAGGATCAGCTGCTCCCCGCCCGGGCGTTTGCCCCAGTACTTGATGAAGGCGATGTTGATCGGGGCCTCGACGGTGACGCGTGAGGGGGTCGACATCTTCGTCTTCGTCCTCTTCTTCTTTGTTTTTCTTTCGCGTTACGGGGGTTAATTAGGAATTGAAATGGGGTTAAGGTAGGCTGGGGTGGGGTGGGAGGGGAAAAAAAATGGGAAACGAGAAGAAAAGAGTATTTCATAGGAATAGGTTGAAAAGGATTCGGTCAAAAAGGCAACTTTCCCTCCCGCATCTCCACCCATACATCATCTCAGACAACAATCGTGTTCAGCTTTCATTTTACTTATATGTGGTTGTTGTATTTTTTTTTCGTTGAGTGCATCTATTTCCATGCGCGCTTACACAGAATCTCCTCTAGAACAATCGACACGCTACAAGACGTTCCACTCCTGAGACGACAGAATCTTCTCATACAAACTAACCTCCACACGTGATTTCTTTCGCTTCTCTAACCCCTCCGCGGCGCTTGGATGGATGCGTTGCTTAAATGCGTCGCTATCGCTCGGCATCATAAACTGGAAGGATACAAAATACACTTCCGTCTGTGGATTCATCAGGCACTCGCACTGCAAAATAGGGCCGAACCGTTCCGTCAAAAACACGACGAAATCCAGCGGCGAGCATTGCGATGCGGCGATCCCGGTGGAATTGCTGAAGGTGGCTATTTTAGACGGGGAAGCAGCCTGCCCCTTGGCATCCCCTGCCTTATCCAACGGATGAATCGCGTCGCGCGGTTGCTTCTTCTGCGTGGCTAGGGCTTCCTCAAGGACTTCGTTGCTACGTTGGATTTGTTGGTCGACTTCGGCGACGTTTGTGAAGAGTTCGGCAAGCTTGGCCTGCGCGACAAGGAGCTCCTGCATCAGCTCCCCAGCGCCTGGGTACGACTGCGTTTCCTTCGCTAAGGTCGGGAGGAGATCCGCCAAGACGGCATCCATCTGGAGACCTGGCGGGAGTTTGCTATTCAACGGCAGCACGGCGCTGATGTTGCTCGAGCTGACGGGGGCCATGCGGAGCACCTCTTTCGGCCGCTTTGGGGCTGCGCTGGCATCGTGGGTATCGCCTCGCTCGGCGGGCGCGTCCTCGCGTTTCTGGAAGGTTCTGGATTTGACGATCATCGTGCAGTTCTTCAGCTTGGCGCCACTTAGGTATTGAACGGTCTGCTGCGCCGATTCGCTTCGCCGAAAGCGGACTTGAAAACACGTCCTCCCTGAAGTGGCGTCGAACTGAAGTCTGATGGATTCGATCTCATCGATGATGCCAAGCCAATCGCTCACATCCTCCATCGTGACGCTGCTATCCTCGTCCTCGACGAAGACGTACACGATATTGGGGTCCTCACTCATTTTGATACACTTACTCTATCGAAGAGAAAAAGGGAAGGTTTCCGCACACCGGTGGTAGTCCTTCCTTTAAAAGAGAGGAAAGGGGGAAAGTGAAAGGAATAAGGAAAGGATTCTCACAGAAAGGGACATTTCAAAGCCTGTAGGGTAAGATTTCAACGGTAAAATAAAACCGAGTATGATTTAAAAGGAAAAAAATACTAAAAGCAAGAGTGTCGCTTATATATATATATTTACCCAGTGCCCACCTAATGTAAAGAAAGGTGTTTTGAAAGAATTAAAAGGTATATGAAAAAGTAGCAGTACACTGATATAAGTTGAAATACTAAGGCAAGAATAACTGAAAAAATCTATTCGGAGTTGATTACGTGGATCGGGAAGGTTATTCCCCTTCTCCTTCCCCTACTCCGCCGCCGTTCCGTTGCCCAAGTCCTCATTCGGAAGTGGAATCCCCACCGCGGATCCTATTCTCGCGCGAACGCGATGGTAAACCCGATTCCAGCACAGGAGGGTGACCAACAACAACGAAAAAGTAATCAACAGTGCATTTCGGAGTTGAACCTCATACCAACACTGCCAGGCGTGGTCGGTGTGGCTTATGGGGCGCCAACAGCAGCGCTCGCTTCGATTTGCATGGCATGCGGCCTCATCGGTGTGCAACCGGCATTGCCGCCCAAACCGATCCGAAAGCATCCCGACAAACGTCGGCGACGGGAAGTCGCCCACGGCGTGAAGCAAAAAAACGGAAATCGCAATCGCGTAAGGCCGGATCGTGGGCGGTACGATCGTCAAAATACACGCATTCACCGGTGCCGTTACCAAAAAGAGCGTGAACATCGCCACGATGAAGAGAATGAGAAACTTCCAGAGGGTGTGCTGGAGAAACGCGAGGAGCCCGCACGGGATCGCGATCGCGAGCATGGATTGGTTAAACCACAAACACTTCGCGAGGCCGGGGTCGCCCTGGCTGCCGCCGAGGAGATCCACCAGACCGCCGCCGAGAAGGGCGCCCCCGACGCCGCAGAGGGCGGTGGCGCCGCCGATGAGCGCCGCGGCAGGGCCGCCCTCCAAACGAAGCGGCCCCTCCATGAGCATTGGAATCCCCCACACGGAGAGCGCCGTCGCCACGAAGGAAAAGACGCAAAACCCCGCAATCAGCAACGCGTAATCGGCATTCCGCAACAACCCCGTGAAGGCGGCAGGGAGGGAAACAAACGCGGCCTCGACCGAGCCCGCCTCGCCTTCGCGTTCCCCCTCGGTGGAGGGTTTTTTGTAAAATGTCGACGGCACGAGCGCGAAGAGCGCGAGAATGGGGATCGCCACCCCCACCTCCGCGAGAAACACCCCTCGCCAGGCGGGCATCCCCGCGAACAGCGGCCCCTTTCCTCCGACGAACCCCCCAATCGCGATCCCCACCGCCATCCCGAGCGGCACCATCGCGTAAAAAGCCCCAATCCACGTCGTTCGCCGCGCGACGGGGGCGATGTTATCCGTAGTCGTCATCGCAAAGCTGATAAACGCGGCCTCCCCCACCCCGGCGACGAGGCGACTCCCTAAAAGACTTCCGTAACTCCAGGCGAGCGCCGTCGCGATGCAGGCCGAGGCCCACACCGATAGGCTTATTAAAATCACCCGTTTAAACCCAAACCGTACCGCCAGGGCGACGAATAATGGGCAGCTCAACATGTAACCCACGATGAAGCCTGAAAATAACAGCCCGCTCTGCGCATCCGTGAGGGCTAGCCGGGCACCGAGAATCTTCGCATCCGCCCGAATCGCCATCAGACTCCCCACGACCGCGCCACGGTCGAAGTAGAGGATAAAATTGAGCGATAATATCACAAACAGGAGAATCCCCCGTGCAGGGAGGCGACGCGCAACCGGCAAGGGCCCCCCAAGCAGCCTTTCCCGGCTTCCCTCGTCTGCTACAGCGAGTTCCTCGGGGGCGATGGACTCCCTTGACCCCATCAAGGCACTCATTCGAATCACAAATGCTAGGTATTGTTTTGTTATTTTTTTCCCTTTCGTTGCTTACTTTTTCGTGTTGTTTGTTTCATTAAAGGGCATTCCATTAAAGCAAGATGGCGCACACCCAGCGGAAGACGTAAGTGGGAGAAGAACGAGTGGGGTAAAATACTACGTCAACGACCTTGTGTGTTAAGCGACAAGGCCGATAAAAAAAGTGGAAAACGCAATCCTCAACCGAATATGAAGAGAAAAAACATTTACGTATGAGTGAGAGGAGGGTATATAGCTGACAAGCTAGGTAGCAGAGAAAAATAAAAGAGACCCAAATAATTTTTAAGAAAGGCTTCACTGATTCTGTATACGATGAAAACTACATTTCAGGCATTCTAGACGAGAGATCGGTGATGGCAATTCTTGCCGGATTTTCCATCGACAATACACGCGAAAAAGTCTCCGCGAAATTCCGCCAGCAAAGCATCTGCTCGCGGTTGTGGGTGGCGTTAAAGCGAACCGCCTTATTCCAAGCCTCGATGGCGAAGTACTCAAGAAGCGTTTCTATTTTTTCGCTCATCACATCCCCGGTGGCTTCCTCGTCATCCGTCAACCGCGCCAGGTATTCCCTCATCGTTTGGGCGGGGGATAAGTTGCCGAGCACCTTTTCCTGGACGACCTTCAGCACTTCCTCGCGCTGCGCGGGATCCATCGCCATCTGATACGCCTTATAATACAGGATCAACAAGGATGCCAAGGCGTCAGGGGTCAGAAGCGTTCGAGACGCCATGGGCGAGGGGGCGGCGGGATCGAGGGGTCCCTTCTCGAGGCTCGCCCCGAACTGGGCGGCGGCAGCCAGCTGCACGGTAACGGCATACTGAAGCACCACCTCGTTGCCGAGTTGATTCCCGATAAAGGTGATCGCGCCGGCGAGGGCCTCCAAGTCGTAATGCGATGCCCCCGCCGCGATCAGCGTCGTTAGGTTCACCGCCGCCTCGACCTCCGCGATCGCGGCTTCCGGTGAAAGCCCACGGAGGTGGAGTTCAACGCGGCTCAAGAGGACGGTGACCACATCCGCCGCTTCGTCCTCCTCCGCGTGGCTGCCTTCTTGAACGAGCGAGAGATATGAGGCGATGGTTTCCACCGACAATTTCGGCATGCCGTACACGAACAGGTCGAACTCTCGATGAAGAATAAGAAACGTCTGGTCGTGAAGCATTTTCTTGTTCTCCTCGAGGGAGGCATCGCAACTGAATCGAAAGAGCTCCACGGCGGCGCAGCCAATCTCGATCCCGACGTCAACCTCCACTTCTGAGATGGATTCGCTAATGAAAAAGAGAAAACGACACCACCAAAAGTACTCGGCAGGCGTCATGACGGGGCGCTCCTTCAGGATCGGAAGGATTCGCCGCGTGAGAAGGGTCGCCGTGGCGATCAACGACGAATCACCCGACTCCACCGTGTTGGAAAGGGCATGTAGGGCGCACACTTTCAGAAAGTCGATCCGATCCTCCTTACTAAGCTCCCCGCCTTCCGCGATGACCATCTCCGCGATCGCCGACGCCGTCGGGAGGTCGTTCAGGGAGTGGAAAAAGTTCACCAGCGTCGCGCACGCCGCGGCGACCAGGTTCCCCCTTTCTTCCCCGTTTTCGACGCCGTCATCGGGATGGTATTTGATCAACTCCCACAGATGCCGTCGTGCGGTTTCCCCGCCCTCTCCCTCCCTCGCTTCCGGCTCCATGAGGAGGGCAAGCTGCGCGAGCGCCGCAACGCCCTCGACGCTCCGCAGCACGTGGCGATGCGCGAGGAAAAGCCGATAACACTCCCCCACCCCGCCCCTCCCGATCCTTCG